AAAATATATATATATAAATGAAAAAGTACATTTACCAAGGCAAGTTTCATTATTAAATACAAACTTTATTTTAAACAAAGTGGTGCTGGTGAAGAGTAAACTGAACTCTGATTCACAGCTAACCCACATTCCTCAGCGAGGACTGAAAAATATTTTTATCACAGTTTTTTATTCCTAGACCAGAAGAGAAACGCTATGTTACCTTTCAACTCACAGTTACTTCGTAAAATTCAAATAAGCTAGTCATTCACCTGAAATAATTAAATAAATTATAATTATGAAAACATACGCCTTTGCCACTGGAAGAGGCTTCTGCTGTCAAATTTCGGTTGTGAGTCTTCAGCTGATGATACATCACCCATTTAATGGTTTGATTTCTTTAGAACTTTTACTGGAAACATGCACTGTGTTAATATTTATTTTATAGGTTTTCATAAGTTCATATTCAGTTTTAAATGTCAGTAACTTCAAGAATGTATTGTATTTGACTTAATGTTTAAAAATTTATTTAAAGTGTACCATCTTTATCCATTCTATTATATTTTTTCTATCCAAGATACTGTATTTTCTTTTTCCTAGGAAGAGTCTTGAGACTAAAGACAGTGTAAGCTTTACATGCATTTCTGAGCCACTACTGATTAAGTTCTACCTGAAGAACTTTCAAGTAGTACTTTTTCAGAGTTCAAACCCCAGCATATCACAGTACTTGAGTAATACATTTTTTTCCCCATCTTTTTTTTTTTGAGAAAATTTTTCTATGCCAAGAGCCTTCTCTTGGTTTTCTTCTAGTATTGTAGCCATTAGTGTGTTGTATTTACTTTGTGCTTTACAATGAACAAATTAGTAAAGCTAGTTTTACATTCACTAATGAGATTTTATATGCTGAAATGAAATGAGTAAAAAGTGGGGTTTTTCCTATGCCAGTACATAAGAGTAGTCTCTTTTTAAAATTTTTTTCCAGGATGCTTGATATCTTTATGAAAATCACTGTCTAGAGCGATGTAGCAAGTGAAAAAAAACTTCCCTACATAATTTAGATCAGCTTCATCTTGAGTTCAATTTGTCTTTTCCTACTTGATTTACAGTGAAAATCACAAGAGACTTACATAACTTGTAGTTACTCATCTCTTCTGTTGTAGCTAGCACCTACTTTTGACCTATGAGAAACAGCTTAGCAGATGTTTAAGATTTCATAGAGTACACCTGCCTTGAATACTAAAAAAAAAACCAAACCAAAACAGAAAAAACCAAAAAACACAACCAACAACAACAACAAAAAACCCTCCACATTTTATTCCTCTGTCTTCTTATTTCTTTAGGAACAATATAAACAGACATTCCCAGCAGCACAGCTAAAGAAACAGGAATCATCTAAGAACCTGAAGAAGGTTATTGCAGCTTTGTCAAGCCCCAAACCAACATCTAGTTCACCAGCTCATCAAAAACTCACATCCTTGGAAAACAACCATTCTAATCCATTCCTGACAAATGCACTTTTAGGTAATCACCAAGCCAATGGAGTTATTCAGAGCGTCATCCAGGAGGCTCCTCTTGCACTTACTACGAAACTGAAATCCCAGACCAAGATCAATGAAAGTGTAGCCATTTCTAGTAGTGCCCCCTTTTCTTTGCCAGTAAACTTGAGTGCATGTGGGAAAAAACCAACTGGTAACCGGACACCTGTTATGCCCTCTACCTCTCCTGTGTTACCTGGTTCAGGAAAGGATAAACCAGTCAGCAATAATGCAGTAAATGCAGTAAAAACACAACACCGCCTTCATTCTGCAAAACTGGTGGTGGAGCAGTTCAGAGGGGTAGACTCAGATGCCCCCAGCAGTAAGGACTCTGACGACTCAAATGATGATGACGACGACGACGAAGATGAAGATGAGGACGATGAAGATGATGATTCTGATGATAGCCAATCAGGTGGTTTAACCTTTTTTATAGGAAAAGCAGAAACTTTATTTTTTGAGTGTTGAAAACATGCATTTCCCACCATATTTTGAAATAGGGGTAAGAAACGTTGGGGCAGCATGGCCCACAGACTGTCCTGCAGATATCCTGGAAAGTAGCACGTGTCTCCCAGTCCCCCATTGTGTCATATCCAAAATTATGTTTTGGGTATTCTGGTACTTGCTTATATGGCAAGTATACTTTCAGCTGTCCTGGTGAGGTGGCTCCACAGCCTTCTGGAAAGGCTGTCAGAGACCTGCCTTCCAGATCAGTCACCTAGCCTGCAGCTCGGGTACTGCTTCTGTGGCAAGGTGCCCAGGACGGGGATGGAGAGAACAGGCTGGTTGATGGTTAATTATTCTGGCAGGCAGAGCCCATCTGCAGAACAGGCTTCCCCAACCAGAGAGGGACTAAACAAAGGCCTTCAAATTGTCAAGAGTGGCAAGAGCATGTTTATAGGCTTCATTCAGGAGCACAGTAATCAATGAGTGAGATTGTACAAAAGTACTAGGACAGTTGCAAGGGCTGCAGTGTTCATAGATAGTATTCAGACTACTATTTTAAAGGCTCTTAATTCAGAAAGGCAAGGCCTGTTTTAAAGAGTTGATTGTATTCACAGTCACTCCTTTCTCCTATTTGTGCTGATATCCCTTGGGTCCAGTTCCACCTTCATCATTCTCTTTCCCCCTCTCATCCACACACCCTATACTAATCCTCTTTTTTTCCTCACAGCTGTAGCCTATCTTCAGTTCCTTATCCTGTCTACCCTTTATCTCTAACTCTTCCTTTGCCCAGATTGACACACTTCCAATTCTGACACCTTTCAGCCTGTACCCAGTTCCATTTTTTTGCTTCCTCTTCATGCTAGATTTCACCACCTGTGAAGTGCCCTTCCTGTGGTAGTGTTCAACCACTGCCTGGCTCACAGGGGATGTCTTAACTGTAGCTCATTCTAGGGTAAACAATCTCTTAAAATACTGCAGCTTCTGTCTCTCATCTCCTTGTGGAAAAACAAAGAGTTCCACCTGAAACAACAGTGCATTATCGTGCAGAATTACTTTATGCTGTCATATTTCTATTCATTGTAAAGTTTAGTTAGTTAATTATAACCTTCTATTTATACTCAAGAGATGTTATAAAAAAACCCCGAAGCCAGAAAAGCTTCTTATTTAATAAGACAAAAGACTTTGCAAGTGTTAGAACTTAAGTATGTTTGCGATTAGTTACCAAGTTGTAATGTGCCTTTTGCCATACTTTTTTTTAAACAGAGTCTGACAGTAATTCTGAGTCAGATACAGAAGGGTCTGAGGATGAAGATGATGAGGATGATAAAGATCAAGATGAATCGGATACAGACACTGAGGGAGAAAAAACTCCACTGAAACTGAATAAAACTTCATCCTCTGTGAAGAGCTCTTCCATTGGTCTTGCAGCTCATTCCACCCCACTTAATCTCCAAGTAGCAAAGACCCCAAGCTCTGCACCAGCTGCCTTATGCCCTGAGTCCCAGCCTGCAGTTTTTCTTGGGACAGCACCATCTACTCTTACACCAAGTACACACTGTGGTATCTGAATGTCTTTTGTTATAGTACAATGTAACATATAAGTGTTGTAAATGTAGTTATGAAAGTAGTTTAGACACTGGTATCAAATGATACGTTGACATAAGAAAGAAATTTTTTTGCAGTAAGAACAATCATTCACTGGAACAACCTCCCCAGGGATGTGTAGAGTCCCCGTCACTGGAGATTTTCAAGATGCACTTGGACAGGGTGCTAGATAATCTTATCTAGGCTCCCCTTTTCATGAAAGGTTGGACCAGATGATCTTTTGAGGACTCTTCCAACCTGGAAGGGATTCTGTGATCTTTTCATGGATGTTTGCAACAGACATTAAAATCAGTCAGCAGAATTGCAACTTCTCAACACCCGAACATTACACTCAGTCCAGGACATTTTAGCTCATATAATTATTTGAGAGAAGGTAGGATTAAGTGGCCAGAGTTGATTTTTATTTCATTAAAACTCTTCATTTTTTAGTCTTTGTTATTTACCATTTTATTATAAATCAGTTATTTATTTCTAATTTCTACACATTATAGTTTGCATTCTGAATCTTCTATTTCTGCCCCTTCCTCAACAAATTTAATAACTGTATTTAGTTCAAATATAACTTTATTCATTATTATTTCAAAATTCTCAGTAGAATTTATGGATTACGTGCAAGGAATTATTTTTCAAAGGTTCATGAAAAGTACATTTAGCATTTGCCTGATGTTATGTAGTGGTTATAATCCTTCATTTGGTGACTAATTTGTAAGATTTAGTAATTACTGCTGCTACAGAAAAGACTGCATTTTTGAAAGTCACACTTCTCAATTTGCATGGTAGCAATTAAATGACATTGCATATTTACTACTTTGAATTACAAATTTGATATTTAATTAACAGGCAAGTAAATAGATTTTTAAATGGGGACTCCACTCATAAGTTGGTTTTTATATTTGGATTCAGTGGGATAGGAATTTCATTCTGTGTCATCAAGGGCATTAACTTTGAAGCAGTTCTACTTCATATTTTTCCGAGAAACAGGCCTATTATTAACACAGTTTGTAAAAGATTTCTCATGGATTAGGAGTAATTCAAATTGTTAGAATACAGCGTTAAATTTTTTTGCTCAGGAATCTGTGTTGATTTATGATGCTTTGAAAAGGCTGATACCAGATTTTTGTCTGTTTGTGGAGATGTGAGGTAGAATAATTAATTTCGTGTCCTTGTTTTAGGAGTAGTACGCTTTCCTAATAAGAATCACCATAATACAATTAAAATATTTTTGTCTCCTTTTTACCAAAAGCTGGTCAGTCACTGAAGAGGTCTTGTGTCTCCTTTTTGTACCTATTTTTGCACTGGACAACTCATTTTTTCAATTCACTTGTGTTTGGACAAGCAATCTTCCTCTGTCCACTGTGACTCTTAGAAGTAACGTAACGGTCAGTCGTGTTAGTTTTAGGCTGCAGACATGCGTCCAAGAAGTTTGGCATCCAAGCACGGGCAGTTCCTCGTTGCTTTCTGGAGAGGACTCTTAGCCGTTGCTTCCAGGTCACGCAGGCACCTCAGTTGGAAAGCTGTGCCGTTGCACCTGATGACACTCCTGGCTGTAAGAGGCTGGAGCGAGTTTCAAGGGTTCAGTCTAATAATGAGACTCTATCAATGTCCATTTCCACCAGGAACAGATACGTCACATTCTTTACACAAGGTCCAAGCTACCTTTTTGAGAAAGGCATCTGTCAAAAGTTTGTCTCTGTATGTAGTTCGTGTCCTCAGTTCTCTCAAAGAGGCCTGAGAAAAGTATCAGCCTTTGGCACTCGGTAAAACCTCGCGTTTGTCAGTTGTCTCTATCACGTTATTGATTCAGTCTCTTGACTGGCACCAAGCGCAACATCTGTCTGAACTTTGAAAAGCTGGAATAATTCTGAAAATTTTTCTCATTTGGCAGTTGACCGCGTTGTATACACAGTGCTCTTTGAAGGCTGAGCTTATTATAATTAATGGAATTTTAAAGTAAAGAGTGTTTTCATTTTAATCTTTTGTACTGAAAAGATTTAAATATGGTCTAGTATAGAAAAACAGGCATGCAAGGAATTATTTTAGCAGTACCTGAGAGCGCCAAACAGGGCAAGCAGTTCAGTATGGGATACTTAGGTTTTCTTCTGTTTATCATTTTAGAAGAGGTTAAAGGAAACTTAGAGGAAAACGTATTTCAAAAGGAGAGTAGTTACATTAATTTTCTTGGTACTTGAGGTATGTAATGGCTAGAATGTAAAAAAGATTTGGGGTTATAAGGATAAAAAGTATATTTTAGGAACATGTTTTCATTTTGTAAATTCTCTTAGGTGTTAATCAGAAATTCTGTTTCAGGTATTTCAAAAAGACGAAGAGTAACAGATGAACGGGAGCTGCGTGTTCCTCTCGAATACGGGTAGGTTATATATATACTTGACATTCCTTAAAGGGAGATATACCTTCAAAAGTCAGTTGGTCAATAAATGCCAGTGTAAAAAGTTTTGAGGCTGAATGATAAGGAAAGGGCTTCAATGATTTAGATTTCCAACTCACAATGACTGTGGATCTCTGTAGAAGTGTCAGCATATTTCATGTGTTTATTTTTGTGCACCAAATTTGCTCTTTTGCAAACATGACCTGTCTCTTAGCAGTTTTGCTACTGGAAATTAATCCTGATGGCTAGATCTGAGCCAGTATAGACTCCAAATAACTCCCTGAAATACGGTTCTAAGCTGTTTAAAATCTGGTAATATGTAAGTAGCTTGATACGAATAAATCCACATATAGCCAGAGTTTGGACAGTCTACATAATAACAATTTCTGGCTATGCCTGTTTGATTTATGATACTCTTGTCACTAGATACGTGCCTTTTTCCTTTTATGTAAAAATCTAAAATTGACATTAATTATTTGTTTTTTAAAAAGTGGTTTCTTGTATGCAACTATTTCATACTACTATAGCTGGCAAAGAGAAACCCGAATAAGAAACTTTGGTGGTCGTCTTCAAGGAGAAGTAGCATATTTTGCACCTTGTGGAAAGAAGCTGAGACAGTATCCTGAAGTAGTAAAGGTACATTCCTTTTTTTAACTTATGTGTTCTAATGCTGCTAAGCATGCTTGCAATTAAAAAACACCATTTTTTCCCTCGAATAAAGATACTTACTTCAAAATATCCTGTGATGTGAGGCATAATGTATCTCAGTCTGTTACTGATTTGATCTCCTATAAATGCATATCCCCTTGATAGAATATGCAAAACATTACACTCACAAAGTTAGCTTTACATCAAAGCTGGGTTGTAATTATTTACAAGCTGAAGTGGAAAAATATGTGATTTTTTCAGTATCTCAGCAGAAATGGAATAATGGATATCTCAAGGGACAATTTCAGCTTCAGTGCAAAAATAGGAGTGGGTGACTTCTATGAAGCCAGAGATGGACCGCAGGTATCCACTTTTTAAAAAGTAAAGTCTTTGATCCAAGGAACATTAACTTAAATTTGGGTGAAGTAATTTTTGCTACAATCTGAAGCATTGCCTGTTTTTAGCTAATCCTTTCTAAAAATTGTGCATATGTCTTAATAGTAGTTATATTGAGATGCTGAGAGCTTGATCCTGGGCAGTGTTGAAGACCACTCCTCTCAGTGATTTTATTAGGAGGTTGCAGGAGTTTGGCATGCCTTATGATCAGCTCTGAGCCTGGATTTGTCTAGTACAAAAGAACTCTGAGCTACTTATTTATGTTAGTTGGCGTTCAGATATTTCTGACTAGAACTCTATTTCTTCCTTTCCTGTATAAACCTAATATTGATAGTAATTTATGTGTATGCATTAAATCACACTCTTTTCATGTATTCATGTGCATAATGTGTATAAAATACATGTTTAAATACAAGTGTTTCCTGTATTGAGAATACTGTCTGAGCTTCCTGAAGCATGAGCTTTTTACAGTTATACCAGTTGTGCTTTACAGTGGTAGAACTGTTAGACTTTGTGTAGATAAACCACACAAGGATAAGTAAAATTAGAATTTTAAGGAAATTAATACTGTGCTTGTGCCATACTGCGTTACTGTATTTTGGTCATGTTGCCATTTCTTCAGTGCACGAAAGTTTTTGGACTTTTGTCAGTGAATATATTTGCTTCCTTAAAAGATAAGTATCCTGAATATGTTACTACAGGAATGTGGACAGACATCCTACTCTCAGCAATCTTGAATTCAGGCTCTAGTTAAGCCTCCTGTGATGACCTGTAGAAATACATAAGGTTTACATAGGATAAATTTGAAAGCAATAAAGACTGAGTTCATAGTAAGCAGCTCCTTCTAGGTGGCGCTTCCTGATTCCTGGCTTACAGGGTAAAACATTGCTAAACCCTCTTCATGTTTGGCCTTCATAAAATAACAGTTAAAGTTCATGTAGTTGTGAACTTCGTAATGTACTTGAATGGCTTGACTGAAGTAATTCCATACAGTGTGAACATAATGTCAGGGTATCTGCTCTCTTTTTACCCTGTTACCTTTTTTGTGTCTGTTGCCCATATTACTTTATTAGTCTTGTCCCTTTCTCTAGTTCTCTCTCTCTTCTCCCTTTAATTCATGAGATGATTTGCAGATTTTGCCCTTCGTTGACACTATAAAGCTTCAGAATACAGAAAAAAAGAGGGGGGGAGCGGGACCAGAGCCATTTCAGATGTGCTAAAGTGTATTTACATTTTATGTATGAGATTTTGAATGAGATTATAATGTAAACAGTTGAGCTACACTCAGGCTGATAATGTGCACTTAGCAGAACAGTATGTGATAACTGATACTTCATGAAGAGAATGTGCACCTTTTTACTGAAGTTTTTAAAATTGTCCAGCCTCAAAGTATGTGATAATCGTATCTCCAATATTAATATGTGATGATAATCATATCTTCTTGGATACTGGAGGTAATTCCAGGAATTTTATTTCTGCTTTTGCTGTAGTTTCGATTATTTTGTATAGGCTTTTGTGGTTACTCTTCCCTTTCTTTGTTAAATATTTCTGTACTTTTTTGAGACATGCAGCATGCATCCAAAGTGATTTGGGTAAGTTTCACAAAGCTCAAAGATGGAACAAGATGCGAAGAAAATTATCTAAGGGCTAAATCAGTTATACTGAAGAATTACCTATAGCAAGCCAAAAATACATGAATTACCCGCTTCTGATAGTGCCTGTGTTTCTCTCTCGGTACGCAAGCAGCCAGCCAGCCAGATATTATGGGTTATTCAAAGCAGTGACTAGCTGCTTTAACAAAGGAGTGTGTCTGGCAGAAGTGGGACATGAAATAGTAGGGTTAGAGGAATGTTGGAAGTTTGGCAAATGTGGACATTCAGTGACAGGACCTGGAGGCTTTAAACTGCTGTGGTTTAGAAATGTGTGGTTTTAGTGTGAATGTGATTTGGGGTGATGGAGAGGGCACGAGTCCTTATGAGTTCGAGTAATACGGATAGGAATACTGCATCAAGTAGTAGGTGGAAGAGAGTGTTGCGGAGTGATACTGAGCTGTGCCCTAAAATTGTATCTTGCTGGCTTTGATTAATATATAACAGCAAGAGTATCCATTGCAGAATCACAGTATGGCTGCGGTTGGAAGGGGCCTCTGGAGGTCACCTTGTCCGAACCCCCCTGCTCAAGAACAGCCACCTAGAGCCAGTTACCCAGCACCACGTCCAAACAGCTGCTGGAAGTCTCCAAGGTGGGAGACTCCGCGGCCTCCCTGGGCCACCTGTACCAGTTCTCAGTCACCGTCACAGTGACAAAGTGTTTGATGATGTTCGGAGGGTACCTCCTGCGTTTCAGTCTGTCCCCAGTGCTCCTTGTCCTGTCACTGGGCACCCCTGAAAAGAGCCTGGCTCTGTCCTCTTTGCACCCTTCCTCCGGGTATTTATACGCATTGGTGAGATCCCCCTGAGCCTTCTCCCCTCCAGGCTGAGCAGCCCCAGCGCTCTCGGCCTTCCCTTGCAGGGTCATTAGTTAGAGAAAACTTGACTCTTCATGCAGCTTCATTCAGATCCTTTTTAGTTGAAGATGAAATGTCAATAAGGGCAAAATACAGACTTTTCAATCTGGATATCGCTCTCTGGGAGTAATCGTTAAGTCATGGTAAGCATGGCATGCACTTTTTCCCCAGTAAGATTCTGCTGTGAAAAGCTGTGAAAATAATGTGGTGGCCCCCCCCCTTCCCCCTGAGTCCAAATGGTTGCCCAGGAAGGCAGCTGAATTCAGAAACAGGGAAGTGGTTAAGTACTTTTTGCCATCTCCTTAGTGTGAAGTAACTCCTATGTACATCAGTCTTTCTCAGTGCATCTGATCATGGTGCTGTCTCGGAACAAATACAGCGCATCTTCATAGGGTGTAAAGTCTACCTCTTTTAAGCCAATTCTTAAGCTTACTGTTTTTTACTTAAGGGACTTATTCTGTGTATTTAGAAGTCTAACATGTTTATTACAGATGCAATAGAAATACCATACAGAACAGCCAACTATGAAATGAGCTGTCATATGCGTTTGTAATACAGTAGTAATTATTTGCTTCCTTTTCTAGAAACTGGAATTGAAAATGATTGTCCTGTTCTGAATTCTGCAGTTCAATTTAGAAAACTGTGTTGTTAACTTTTTCTCACAAATCTAAATTGAAATTAATGAGGATGTCTGCTCTTGCAAGTGCCTATGGTTTTGTTTATTAGTTTGGTTAACAGGGTTTGAGCTTGATGCTGCTTCCACGCATAGCTATCTAGTGCCTTTTTTGCAAATATCCTGATTACAATACAGTATTGCAATAGGTGGTAGATGCCTGAAGGTCAAAAATTGAATTAAATTCTTATTTTGATTAGTTTCAACAATAAAACATGACATTTCACAGTGTTATTCCTGTTTTTTCTCTAATGCTTGTGTAGTGAATCTTAGATTTTATGGAAGCCCCTGATTCTCATACGTTGGGGCACAAGCCGCGTATTTTTTTTTCTTCGGAATATTGATAATCCACAGAATATCAAATTGTACATTCTTTTAATAGACATATCTGAGCACAAAATACAGATGCTCAATTAACTCCTGCTTAACCCTTAATGGATCTGTTCTGGACTATTTTTGTCTTCTCCTCTCGTAAACTTGTGGAAACTTATTGCATCCACAGTGTCCTTTGGCCGGACATTAAACATTCTTCTCCCCATTCATTGAAACGCCAGCTCTTTTTGCTTACTGAACCTTCTGGTAGCTTCATTTGGTGGCCTCTAGTTTCTCTTTTGGGAGGCATTAGGAAAATGTAGTATACATCCATAGTCTCTGTGGTGCTAATGATCTTGTAGACCTTTGTCTTTTCTGCATATTTGTTATCATTGGTATCGTTAACCATAGCAAATAACAAATACAGAGCAAGAACAATCTCCATTGCAGGATCTAAGGTACACTTGAACTATGGCTGCTTCTCCTCCTCTTTGAATTTTTGCCTTCCCGCCGCACCCCCAACACTTGTGGTTTATGGGATAAGATTTCCTAGGTTGGTGTAGGTGATAAGTACACTATTAAATCTCGCCTATATTACTCAACAAACTGAACCTGTGATAAATTGTAAGTCAGGTACCAGACGGTGAAACGAAAGTGTATGCCTAAGTAGTACTCTTAAAGATAGAAAATGAATTAACTTCTCTTTAAGTGGTAAAGGTAACTATTTTGGATTTAAAAGTCCTTAGTGATGATGCATTGTGCGCATAGTGATATGGTCATGATTCTGAGCAGCTTGTTTTTAGGAACATAGTTCATAACAAAGCCCTTTGGAATGTCTGTAAACTAAGTGCGAGATGCACTCCTGGGATGGTCATAACTGGGAGTGATTCAGACTTCAAAAAAAGGTATCCTTGCAGATACTGATAGCTTCCTTGGAATCTGAATGTTTCATTAGCAAAATGCCATCTTATGTTAAACATTTGTAATTATGAAGAATGAGCAGAAAGAATTAAAAGATAAATTGTGAGAATAAGCAAATAAAAATGCATTTTATTGTACAGCAAATTTGATTGCAGTATTTATGTACGTATAAATGTGAAAACCTTGGTAATGCAAATTATGTTTTCTGAACAGATGTTTAATTAATGTGTTTTATAAGTTACCAACTTTGATCCTTGCTTTAGCAGACATTTTCAAAATCTTCTACAACCCTTTTTAAGGCAAATTATGGAGTAGTCCCAAGGGATACTTAGCTTACATTTTTTCCCCCTGCATTTTTCAAAAACTTGGGGAAAAATGGTAAAAGATGTTACAATTTTGAAATACTCATGTTCAGTCAAACAGGAACAGGTAGACTGTGCTCCTGTTCTGCTCAGTAGAGGCAGTAAACTCTACTTTTTATCAGTTGAAGTAAAGCTGTTTCTTTGTGAGGACTAACTTGGGTATTTGTATTAAAGTACTTCAGTATTTGTTTTTGAGATTCCACAAAAAAACAGTAGTAATAGTGAAAGTAAGGGTTGAATGTATTGCTGCATACTTTGCTTAGAGAATATAGTTCATATAACTTTTAGTTCAGATAGATGGATTCTTAAAAGTTACAAACTTTTGATTGCTTCAAGTTGGCGCAGAAATTAATTTTCTTGCAGTGGATTAGGGGAGAACTAAATTGTACTAAATAAAACTTAAAGTTTAAAATGAGCCTGTGTTTTTTCAACTCAGTTGTTGTGATCTACAACACCCCAGAAAGCAATATTTGAAAATACAGTACTGCGTTTGCTTGTTATGTATGTCAAAATTTCTGTAAACACTAACAGTTGGAAGACAGTTACTCGTAGCTTGACACATTTTTTCATTCACATTGAGCAGTGGATTATGTGAAAGCAGAGTAGTTATTTTTGAGTTTATGTAATAAGGAAGAATATATTTCGCCATTTAAAAAGTGTTGACCAATAAGTGAGTTGGTCAGAAATAATTAAAAAGAACACAGTAGTGGCATACCTGCTAGGTAATAATTGTGTATGTCGCTGAATAGTCTTTGAAATCTTGCATAGCAGTACAATTTACAGAAGTTTGTAGTGATAACCTCTCAATACATAGCTTCTGTGCATCATCAAAACATTGTACTACTCAAATAGTACATCACAGATCTCACATATTTTATAGATTAAACTTATTTGGGGAAAAAAAACCTTTATATTTTGCTATTCATGTTCTCAAGTGTCTTAGATTGATTTTTCCTTTTTTTAATCTGTGTTTATAATACCTGTCTGTGAAATGTGTCAATTAAAAGGGTGTGCAGTGGTGTCTTCTGAAGGAAGAGGAAGTCATTCCCCGTATCAGAGCTATGGAAGGGCGTAGAGGACGACCACCAAATCCGGACAGACAGCACTCTAGAGAGGAGTCAAGAATGAGACGACGCAAAGGTCGACCTCCGAATGTTGGTAGCACTGAATTTCTAGACAACACCAATGCAAAGCTTTTAAGAAAGCTCCAGGCTCAAGGTAAGAACTGTGTTAGTGTTATGTTTTCACGAACAGAGGGTATCAGTATATAGAGAGTTAATGTTTTTTCCTAAAGGGGAGTGATGTTTCACTAGGATATTAGTATGCAACATTTTATTTTGGAAACTTGTCACATGCTTTTATTGAAGCCTTTTTCAAGATCAGTTTAAAAAAAAAAAAAAAAAAAAAAAAAAAAAAATGATCCAAAGGAGGAAGTGTGTGTGTAAATGTGCGTCTAAGAGCTTACTCTATAGTTACTTTATTTAGATTTATAAAATTTAAAAAAGCAGACATCCAATAATCTGGTTACCACTGATGTATTTTTTAAATTGGCAAAAATTAATAGATCTTTGTTTTCCCCTGTATCAGCTCAAACAGTGGACCTAGAAATTGAAACTGAGAACTACTGAAGTTAGCATTTCTGTGAAGCTTTTGGCTGTTCCAGGGAAAATACTTTTCTTGTGGAATCCCTGATAGTGACAAGATTTAAATGCCTATAAAGTTGAATAGGATCCTGTAGTAAGTAGTACCAATGTTGACAGTAGAACTTTCATGATATCAAGTACTGCTGTATATCAAAAGCATGAGGGCCTGGTTTTAAATAAACATCAGGTACATGACTTTTGAATTTCAGTTCTTTAGTCCATAACTGTTTTATATTTTCTGAATGCATCTAATCCAATATGAAGAAGTCTTACAGCCCAGGAGCCAGGATATTTGTTTTAACTTAAGAGTTAACTGTTCTTTCATGTGCTGACTGTGGACATGTTTGGGTAGCTACCTTGTATTTTACATAATGTTCTTGCTAACAGTATGTGTGCCTTGAATATGTGCCTTGGCGTGATTCTTTGCATCTTTTTCCCTTGTTTCCTGAAAGGACTACTGTTCTGTTTAGATATGTTGAAGGCATGCAACAGTAGTGCTTTGGACACATGGACAGAGAGAAGGCGGCAGTTTTAGAAATACCATAGCACGTAGTTTGTCTTGTAGTGTTGCGTAGCTATTTTAGCTGTGTGTAAAGGTCACCACCACATTTTGTTCACTCTGAGAATTAGAAAACTGTGTCAACTGCTGAAGCATTGTAGCATTTGCTGCGAGGCTGTGTATTTGTTGTGAGGCACAGTAACTGATGCCAGAAGTCTCCTCTTCTCATCGGAAAAGATAAGCCCTAGTCACTAAGCCATTTTGCTTCACTTTGCATCTTCCTTTTCCTTACATTGGTCACTGTGAGGGTTGGGGGGCAGAGTATTTAGGAGCACTCTCCCATGTCTGTTTTCCCACCATGCGCTGTAGCATTTAATTAACAAAACCATGTAATCTATATATACAAGAAGATTCACAATGTATAGTATTTGATGTTACCTATATTCATACCTACCTTGCTGCTTTTTTCCCGCTCATGAGAACGTAAGACATGTCTCAGTGGCTCAGCCCAGGGCTTTGTCTCGTGCAGACCTCTCTCTCCAGTAGTGGCCATAGGGGATGCTGCTTGGAGAAAGCATGTGAACCTGATCACTGTTTGGTCCATTTATTTCCTCATACGTGCACTGTGACATCCTTAGGTGTTTTATGAGTGCTGTTGTAGAGCACATTTTTTCTTGCTCCATTTATTTTCCGTTTATGCAACTGAGGCCCATGAATTAGCCTGTTCCTTGTTTTTTAACCTCCTGACAATGTTTGCTCTACCAGCCTCCTGTGGCAACAAGTTCCTGAAATCTGCTCACTGCTGGACTATTTTAACCTTTTAAAAAATGATCTTCGGTTACTGTTAGTGGGTGTTTCCTAGTTCCATTATTGCAGGGTTTGGAGGATAACAGTTCTGAAATTTATGTTATCCACCACCTTGATGATTTTGCAGACCTTGATCCTCTCTGTCCTTAGTTTTCTCCCCTCCAAACTGAAGAGCCCAAGTATTTTCAGTCTTTTCTTGGAAGGTAGTTGTTCCATCCCTTTGATCCTCTTATGTGTCCTCTAATTGCAGTGTTTCTTTTCTACGTGTATTACCTTACATTTATCTATGATGCAGCTCCTCTGCTACCTTTGCTTGTTGTTATGCAGGGTTCTTCCAGAGTTCCCTGCTGTCAGCACAGCCTTGGGTTTTCCAGAATACTTAATGTCATCTTCACATTTTGGGATTTAACTTTGCAGGCCCCTTCACAGGTTTTATTGATTAAAAAAGATATGAAAAAAAGCTGGTTCTAGTACTGATTTGTGAAGAAACGCTCTACTAACTCTTCTTCATCACAAAAGGTGACTGCTGATCTCAGCCCTTCACCTGTTATCATTTAAAGAGCTTTCAGTCTGTGAAGCTTTTCTTCAATGACATAACAGCTTTGTTTTATTAATAATGTTTGACTTAGAACCTAGTCAAATACTTTCTGGAATTGCGAATACGTTATGTCCATTAGATTCTCTTTATCTCCCTGAACTGACACTCTCACTGAAACCCGAAATTAGGCTGAATTTCTCTTTGTAGAAGCCATGCCAACTGTCTGAACTGATGGTGTTTTATACTGTACTCAGTAAGTATATATAAGACATAATACATACAATAGGACTCCACCACCTCAACAGGAAAGGAAAATCAGTCTAACTGATCTGCAGTTTCTAAGATTTCTGCTAGAGCCCACACCCCCCTGCCTTTTTTTATTTTTTAGACTCGCCAATCCTGTGACACAGTGGCTCTTGTTAATAATATGGTAAACACCCAGACCAGTGTCACTATGGTTTCATGTTAGTGTTCCTTCAGATTTCTCTGTCCTGCGTTGGTGATCTGTTAACATCTGACTTACCTTCTTGATCTAATACTTATTTTATATCTACCTCAAATTCATCTAGCTCTTCTGACCCATCTGCTGTAGACGATGCACTGAGTAGGGGAATCTACACAACATCTTCAGCAGTAGAGACTGGCACAATGAATTCAGTACTGTTTTTTCTAAGTCTATTTTTTCTATCCTGTTCATTGTTAGGTCCCACTGATTGCATTTCTGGCTTCCTGTTGTGATGTATGTAAAGATCTTTTACTGTCTGCTCAGGCATCCTTTGCAAGGTGCCCTTCAAACTCTTTTTCAGCCTAACTCGTTAAGTTTGGCGTGTCATAGGCTTTCCTGTTCTTATTTGAATAAGCTTTTCATTTTTGACATGTTCACCATTTTCCTATGATGGCCTCCTTTGCTGAAAAGCCACATATGGACTACCTTTTTCCTTTTTTAAATGTGGCTCAGTGTTTACCTGGACAAGGATACCTTTTTTTGAACTACTTCTAGGTTGCTCACTTGAAGTATGCCTGCTTGAAGTCTGCTTTTTTACAGCTTCTCTTAGGGTTCCACCAAATGGACTACATAGATGTCTTTTCATTCATTATTTCTATACTATGTGACTTGATACTGCACTTTGCATAGAAGGTTGGTCTTTTGTCCGTACATCTCATTCTGATGTTCCTGTAATGTTGGTACCTGGCAACACCATGTATTATTAATTATCCTTTTACTTTGTCCATGAGATGTCTATTACATCTGGATTACATTTGATACCAAGAATTCTGGTTTCCCTAATTTCTTTTTAGATTTCTTGGCTTGATTTAGAAGCCCTTAAATTTTGCTCAGCACAGCACATACTAGTTGAATGGAAATACAGGTTGTCTGACTTGTAATCCCTATTTCTTGCAGTATAGGTGTTTGTTTCCCATTTGTCCTTTTCAACTGCATGCTGAACATTAACTACACCCTCCTCATGGATTGTGTCAATTCACACTAAGCAGTGCTCTGCATCTGTTGGCCTTTCCATATAGTTCATTTAGACTAGACATTAGAAGTTTTTTACAATGAGGGTGGTGAAGCACTGGCACAGGTTGCCCAGAGAGGTGGGAGGTGCCCCATCCCTGGAAACATCGCAGGCCAGGCTGGACGGGGCTGTGAGCACCCTGGTCTGGTTTAAGCTGTCCCTGTCACTGCAGGGGCTGGGCTGGGTGGGCTCTGAAGGGCCCTTCCAACCCAAAGCATTCTATGATTCTATGATAGTTCATAGGTTTAAGTTCTGCTCTATAACATAGGTTCTAATTTCCAGCTACTGGTTCTATTTTCATTAAGGTGTAATTTCTCCTTCTGTTTGGTTACCCCTTGGCCCTGAAGGTTTCCCTGTTGTCGTGTGCCTGTTTACGCTAACCTTGCTATCTTCAGCATCATCTTACCTATACATGGATTTTCCATATGTCTGCCTGCATCTTGGTCATTGCACAAGAAGCTGACAGTATTTTGGAGAATGCTATCAAAGAGGTCCTGAACCTCAGTCCTTTGAATAGCAAGCTGAATTCAGTCTCCAGAAGGTCCTTCCTACAGCTGTCTTAAATCAGTGTGTCCATGCACAGTCCATCCAAATTTCATAAATATTCTCACTTAAAGTAGTAGAGTGCTTCAGGAAGTTCCTAATTAGCAGAAGAGTGGCTGGCTGTAGGTAGCCACAGTAAATAGAAGTGTGACCCAGATGAGTGTGCTCTTACTGCATTGTTAAAAAAGGACCAGATAATTACATGAGGTGACTTAGAAAGAAAACAGTAATTCCATGCTTTCTGAATTAAATGTTGGTTTAGTACTGAGAGACAAATGTTTTCTGCTTTAGAAAGAAAGAAGAAATCAGTTTTTAAATGAAGGGGCATTATTGGCCTGATGCTATCACTTAACAGATAATTTTTCCTTCAAAAATAGTATTTTCTTTTATATAGAAAATATCCATGTTCATTTGTGGTGTTGATGTCGTTACTGATACATGAGATACCACTAAAGGTACTTGATAGTGAAATGTTGCCAAGATAAATGCGTGCAAAATAAATCCACTGTTTTCTCTATATTTAACTCATGCAAATGTCTGGAATATGAGCTATATCATTATTGTTAGACAGCACTGTTTTTTATGAACTTAGTATTTTCTTTTTGTAACAGAAATAGCTAGGCAAGCAGCACAAATAAAGCTACTGAGAAAACTCCAGAAGCAGGAACAAGCTCGAGCTGCCAAAGAAGCAAAAAAACAGCAAGGTAAGTATTACTTGTGAAAGTTTGTGCATGCTAGCAGATTATTTAAAAAAATATTAATGAAAAGTTACCTGTCTCTTGTCATGTTCTGCTGATCCTAATTTATTGTTTGCTTTTGTTTGTTAGCTATTATGGCAGCTGAAGAAAAGCGAAAGCAAAAGGAGCAGATAAAGATAATGAAGCAGCAGGTAAGATATATGATTGCTAAATAAGCTCTTTAAATTACATTTTGAATTATTGAATTAGGTGTATTTTAATTATTTAGTAAATTATTAAGTATGCTAATTACAAAGTGAATTTTTAAAATCTAATTTTAAAGAGCACACAGTGTGTATTATTTAAAATTCTAAACTCTGTAGTTGTTTTTCGTGTTGTCAGGACATCCCAGTTTTGTCTGTGTTGATTTAAGCCACCCGATGTATGTAAATTGCTTGCCAATATTGGTAAGAAAGTAAAAAACTGCTAGTAAAGTACAGTGATGCGGTCTTCCTTTTTTTGTTTCTGTGAAAACAAATAGTGCTATATATGTATTTATGTAAATACTGGAATAGTGTAATTAGCTTCTTCAGTGATTCTGGCTGGCTGTCACTGGTCTTAGGTTGTGTGTGAAGGGTTGTATCTCAGTATGCCAGTGAATTAATATATGTTTTTAAACATACAAGTATTGTTAAATACCGTCATAGCAAATACTTTCCATAAAAGTGAGCCCATATAAACTTTACCAAATAAAGCTACTTATGGAAACAGGCTTTTAATTTTTTTAACAACTAATTTCAACAAATTAGTGAAAAGTTAGGTATGTTGAAAATTTTTAAAAGCGAATAATTTGCGTCTAGAAATATATTTGTGTGGTTGGGTTTTTTTTTTTTTTTTTTTAAATATTTGTTCTGTTCAGTATGAAGCTTACTGCAGAGTTCAGAAATTAAATACTTCCTCTGGTAGCAATCAAAGGACAACTTTTTTAGCTTTCAGCGAAAGGACATATTTTTTGTGTTCAATGCCATTATTGCTTTAGGTTTTTACCCTCTTACAGTGGCACGGAATAAGCATGTAGAATCTTCTAGAAGTAGGAAAAGTTGACTTCAGTAGGCCAATTCAACCTGTACTGCTCTTGAATTAGTATATGTATGCATAGTACAGATAGTACATTTAATTATTTTTAAACAAGAATATTGTTTGAATTAACTTTTATGTTCAATGTTAATATTTTTATTATAGTAGTATTTATAGAGGTTTAAAATAAAGGCATATATGGAGATGGAAATGATGAACATTTACTATTAAAACCAATACCTTTTATTTGTGATAGAAACTTTTACTGAAATATCCATGAAATTCTATATATATTTGCATGTGATTGATGATACGTTACTTTGTAATGTAATGTGTATTTTTAGCTCTAAATAAAATTCTGAAGTTGGACATGGGAAGAGAGGATTCCAGGTTTGACTTCCACTGCATTCACTGCATCAGCTTCTTGGGATATTCCATTAACTTCCTGATTTAAAGTACCTCATGCCTTTCATACAGGATGAAGCTGATGTCTGTTACAGGGAAAATGTTTCTTCTGTGGTGCAGTGTCTTCACTGTGGTCTCAAGACTGGTTTCTATTTATATTGTAGTTTAGTTGTGTTTTTTCTAAAGATAGTTTAGTTATAATTTTTTTGAGCTCTAGTTGCACCTTTTCAACCTGTTGTGTTAGGCTCCGTTGAGTAATTTTATTTTGCAGCTAAGTTGTATTTAGATGTCTATAGAAACTTCACATCTAACATTGAGATTCAGAAATTAGCAAACCAAAATGTGTCTGTATTTGATTTGTTTGTGGTTTTTTTAAATCTCAGGGAACAATTAATTAGGATGAAGTAATAGCATCATAGAATCATTTAGGTTGGAAAGGACCTTTAAGATCATCGAGTTCAACCGTTAACCTAACACTGCCAAATCCACCACTAGACCATGTCCCTAAGCACCTCATCTACACATCTTTTCAATACCTCCAGGGATGTGGATTCAACCGCTTCCCTGGGCAGCCTGCTCCAATACTTGACAACCCTTTTAGTGAAGAAATTTTTCCTAATACCCAATGTAAACCTCCCCTGGCGCAACTTGAGGCCGTTTGCTCTCATCCTATCGCTTGTTCCTTGGGAGAAGAACCCAACACCCACCCCACTACACCCTCCTGTCAGGCAGTTGTAGAGAGCGATCAGGTCTCCCCTGTGCCTCTCTCTCTCCAGGCTGAACACCCCCAGTTCCCTCAGCTCCTCCTCATAGAACTTGTGCTCCAGACCCTTCACCAGCTTCATTGCCCTTCTCTGGACACGCTCCAGTACCTCAGTGTCTTTGTATGATCTCATCATCTCACTACTTAGAAGTAGTGCTAGAAAACCAGATCTCTCATCATTTTGCCTGTAAGTGGCATCCTGAGGCGTTAAAAAAGCCAATGAAAATATGAAGGCCTTTCACATCTTTGAAATCCAGACATTAAAACCTAACGTACTTTTTTTTTTTTTTTTAAAAGTAATTAACCAAAATTGGTGGTACTGCAGACTACCTTAAATATCCGAGGAACAGATAAAAATTAATCCTTGTTGGTAACTGTTTAGATTTTTCCATGAAGAAAGTGCTCAGTATAGTAGACAGTGGGCTAGAAGTTGTCACTTCACCATCTATGTGTTAAACTAGGAAAGGCTGGGAGCGCTGGGGCTGCTCAGCCTGGAGGGGAGAAGGCTCAGGGGGATCTCACCAATGCGTATAAATACCCGGAGGAAGGGTGCAAAGAGGACAGAGCCAGGCTCTTTTCAGGGGTGCCCAGTGACAGGACAAGGAGCACTGGGGACAGACTGAAACGCAGGAGGTACCCTCCGAACATCATCAAACACTTTGTCACTGTGACGGTGACTGAGAACTGGTACAGGTGGCCCAGGGAGGCCGCGGAGTCTCCCACCTTGGAGACTTCCAGCAGCTGTTTGGACGTGGTGCTGGGTAACTGGCTCTAGGTGGCCGTTCTTGAGCAGGGGGGTTCGGACAAGGTGACCTCCAGAGGCCCCTTCCAACCGCAGCTATCCTGAACTTCTGTAGATAGTGACAGCTTCCAAGTTTCCACTTCTGACAGCAACCCATACTTGTTAAAGAAAGGCAAATAATGCAGACTTTTTTTTTTTTTTTTTTTAAGAGCGTTGGACTTGTATCCATTCACATCACCCTATGGTTATAAAGGGGTTCTTACATTCTTAGGTGTGCAGGGAGCAAGAATTGCTTAATTGGTGAATACATCAAATCCAGACCTTGCTTATCATCACCGTATTCATTCCTGGTGTATAACTTGATAAAAATTTCATGATTCCAATGTATAGAATACTTCTTTTTGTCTCTGATATATTTCTCCACTCTCATCTCTACTGAAAAGTTTGTTCTGTTTTAATTCTAGCCTTTGTGGAATTGACAGAGTATAGTACATACTCTCTACTTTTGTACAGTTTTGTTTGTAAAGTATAATGAGGGATAATAGAGACCTAAAGTCCATGCTGTGAGCTTTGCCTGTTGAAAATAAAATTTCAACACTGTATAAACAAGGCCTCCGAATTAATTTTCTCCATAAGGTAGTCTGATGCTGCACTTCTCAACATTTTACGGAGCTGGTAAGATTTGCCTGAAGCTTGCAGGACCTCATGTGGTGGTCTTGTACTGGAGCTCTGTTCTTCAGGAAATTTTGTATGTCTTTCTCTTCTGTGATTGCTCCTTTTCTGTTAAATATTTTTAGATTATCTTTTCTTACGGGCTTGGTTTTGGGTTTACTTATTTGTCGGTAAAGCATATACATCACTCTGCGTTCTCTAAAAAGTAAAATTTTAGGCAAGTCCATGTTCTAGAGTCTCAGACCAGCTCACAAGAACACAATGTCTTCCATACAAATGGGCTTTACCCTCACTGTTGGAAAAACATCTGCTGTTCCAGAGAATAGCATTGAGCTCCATTTCAGGTTTCTGATTCAGGCACCCCAGCTTGCAGGGGTTTTGCATGGTCTGGGTTTTGCTGTTAAAACTTTACAGCAAGTCCAGCTGAATCTATTGCAGCACTTCTCTTCATAGTCACTGTGGCTCCAGCAGCTTTTTTGAGATAATAAAACCTGAAATAATGTGCTATGAAATTTTTAATATGAGCTTGGGTTATTACTATTTAACAGACAAAACTCATACAGCACAGAAAATGTGAACTAATCCCAAAGTTTGCAATGATTGCATTTCTAAATGAACTTAATAAGATCTTATTCAGATTTTGGGAACTAATTCCTGAAAAAGAATAAATTAGAATATGGTTACACAGCATCCATCTGTGGAGTGCTTAGCTTGATCATTGTCTTCTTACCATGATGAAACATGCTGAAATGTGTTGTACTGCCTGTGGCTGCTGTTTTGGTTACTTTTTTTGGTATTTTGCTCTGCAGCATATATGAAACTCAGTCATGTAAACTACATATTAAGGCATCCAAACTCATCATCAATTACCTGAATGCTTTAAAGATCTGGAGAAACTGAAATGTACTGAACTGCGAACATGTTATCCAGGTTGCATGTGGGTGGCTGTTACTGGCTGACAGAGTATGTTCTTTGGGTTTTACAGTACGCGGATTCTCCTTGTGGCCCATGGTACCATAATGAACTGAAAGGCTGCTAGAACCAAGGCAGAAAATAGTGGTTTGACAGAAGCCCATATTTCTTATTCAGGGACATCACATCAAAACATCTTTTTCATGTCATAGCTCCCATTTCCATTCATTCCTAAATAGCTCCACTACCGCAGCTAGAATTTGAATGTTGCTAGCTTGCTTACATTGTCATTAATCTGGTCCCCTTAAAGCTGTTAAAAAAAAAAAAAATACTATGACAACTTAAACATGAGCAGCTGTGCATAACTCAGTGTTGGTTCCTTCAGGAATATACCAGACATCTTCTAATGCTAGTAAAAATTCTGAACATACATTGTTATATGAGAACAATTCACTACAACGGGTATGAGCCTTGATAACAAAAAGTATATATGTATAAACGTCATTTTTTTATAGGGAAAGGTAAATTTACTTTCTCAATATAAACCTTCTTCCCCTTGTAGGAAAAAATTAAGCGAATCCAGCAAATCAGAATGGAGAAAGAACTTCGAGCTCAGCAAATTTTAGAGGTAAAAATAATGGCTCAAATATAATTTTTGTGTTGCCATTTTAAAAGAAAGTTGTATTTTAATAGTCACACATGCAGTTAGGAATGTAACTACATACAACAGCTCTAACAACCTGGACTTCCAAAGGCCAGTTCAAAAAAGTGTCTTAAAATATTTTTCTTAAAAAAATCTATATTAACTGCGACCCAAATCTTGCAAACGTTCACTTGAGTTCCCGATTTCCTACGCAAATAATCTTGTATTTGCTAAAGTTAACAGCGTAAATATTCCTTTGTTAAAAAACAAGTTTGCAGTAATAGGATGTTAAAGCAGTATCATGCTCTGCTCTGTGTGAAGTGCAGTGGATTTAAAATACTAAGTTTATATATATGCTAGAGTATACTGGTATACTATACTAGTTGGCTAGTATACTAGCAAAGATAGATTGCTAGTTTTCAAGTCTCTATTCATGGAAAAAATAATGGTAATCTCTTTGCCATTTATGTTTTTATTGTTTCTGTGTATACTTACTTTCTTAGTTATAATAGCCAGCTGTAGTAATTTTGAGTGCAACTTGAAATTGTGGCTTAGTTTTTAAAAAGTAAATGAATTGTGAATTGGTTGATTATGAAAGCTGCATTGGGAAAGAAATGTTTTGCAATATACGCCATACGTGATGATTTTTTGAACTTTTAAAGGCACATAACTTTATTTCAAGTCAGATTATTTTCAAGTTGTGATGGTGCTGTTGTGTGACCTGTTTTGCATGCACAGGCAAAAAAGAAAAAGAAGGAAGAAGCAGCAAATGCCAAATTATTGGAGGCCGAAAAACGAATAAAGGTTAGTTTAGAGGAGCTCCAAAAACAAGAACTGTGTTATTGTGCATAATACCCGTTGATGTATAAAAGCAGTAAATTTGGAAGAATTTTCATTGATAAGCAGTAAATTTGGAACTATATTAATTGATAACGAAACTGTAAGTAGAGATGGCATATGAATAACGTGTACACGTTTATATAAATACATGAAGCATACACAGTTTGTGTATGTGTGACATACACAAACACACATGCCTACATTCATACATACACACGTGAATATATAGAGAGACAGCAATTTTTTGTGTGCCATTACCATGAGTTTTTGACGCTTGGCTTGCATAACTTAAAAGGTTCGTGCAGTAACATTCACAATATTCTTTTAAGCCGTAACTATCAAAAAACTTCGTTGCTTCTCAGCAAGCGTAGTCTTTTCTAGGCCATATGTATACAGGACTACAGAACTCTTACAAATGTTGGAAAATACAGTTTATATATGTACTTCTGTTACTGCTTTGGCATTCTTGGTGTATTTTAACATGTAACTCCCAACTCAATAGACTGGCTATCATGCATACTGTGTATACATCTCTATGCTCAGTTTGTTGGGGGCAGGGAAGAATTTAATTCAGATGTGCTGTTTTACTGAGGCAAAAATGTGCAACTTGGTAAGTAAATTTTGATAGATAGTTTAAATACATTTTTGTTCTTTTGTTTAAGGAAAAAGAGATGCGAAGGCAACAAGCTGTTCTTCTGAAACACCAGGTTGGCATACATTCAGTTGACCAAACAGGCAGAATGCCAATTGTGAACTATTGCTTAAGCTATACAGGGGTGGGGTGGGTGTGGAATCTTCAAAATATGCCCTTTTTAATTTCTGGGTTTGATTCCTGCACAAATTTTCTTTCACCTTATGATTTGTTGCTTTGCTTTGGTATTGGGGACTTTTGGGGGATTATAAAGTGGTTTTATGACTTTGTGATTTCTGTTTCATAATGTTGTGCCAACTCTTTCTACCAGGAGTTGGAGAGGCATAGACTAGATATGGTATGGGTATGTTTATTTTTGTACATCTAACACCGCATTGTGATTTGGTTGTGATATGGTTGTCATAGCAATGCATAAAATGTAGCACTGGCTGCTGTCATATTACATACTGCTGCATGGCTTTACAGCACAGTGCATTGCATACATCTGCTTGTCTTGTCTGTTAAGAAAAAAAAAAAAAGACATGTCTTGAACATGTGTATAAATTGAGCATGGCAATAAATACATGAAGTTTTTAACCAGGAATCTGTTAGTGATGTCCCAGTAGAAATTGGACTACTGTATAAAATCAGGGATTAATTAATACAAAATTAATAGGTAGTCACTTGGATAATTTTTGCAAGCCTTGTCCCATTCACTGGGAATGAATCCAGACATTTGAAATACAATTTGAATTAACCTATTTTAGAAATCAGGGTGATGTGTTTCCTAAGTTTGTAAGGTACTGAGAAAATTAGCTTTTAGTTAGTGGTAAATACATAATGTTACAAGTATAAAATGAAACATTAGAGTGTCACTGGATGAGATCATAAAATTCCCATAGCCTTTACTGGGCCCAAGATTTACTCTACAGCTTTGAAGGCAAAAAACCTTAGTGCTCTAGAATACAGCTCATTGATGCATTTGAAGTTACTGACGTAATTTATTCAGGGACAGGCATCAGCAAATGCAAGTGTCGTTGCGTGTGTATATGCGCCACCACTAGCTTGATTAAAACTGATCTAGAGCTGAGAAAATTAATCATTAATTTGTTGCTTGGTTACAAAAATGTTAATTTTTGCGATGTTTGAAAATGACCAGTTTTAATTAACATTTCTGCTGAATTGGCTATTGAAGAAGTAAATTGGAAGTTCTGTAATAGCAGATGTAAGGTAACTGACCTGTTCCAGCCAACCATTATGCTTTTTGTTCTGCCAGCTTATGAAGGAGCATCACAACTGACCATAAGTAAATCTGTATGCTTCTTTTTTACACTGTCTCCATGTTCATTGCTTTACCTTTTTGCTTTTGATTGTTCTTGTATTTGCTTTCTAAACCTGAACTAAAACATGCACAGACTTGGCCATTCTTGTCCTATATTTAGTATTTACTGTGACTTGTCTATTAATGCTAAATTTGTTACTCAGCTTTTTTACTGATTTTAAAACGTGGATTAGTTTTGTTCTAATCTTACCTGCTTCAACAGGAACGAGAAAGGAGGAGACAACACATGATGCTTATGAAAGCCATGGAAGCACGTAAAAAAGCAGAAGTGAGTATTAACCTCTGAAAGTTTGAAGTTTTCATGGTTTCATTCTGCAGTGATCTGTAGAAGAGCAGTGTGTTTGTACATGTACGGAGAATTTCATTTGTATACATGGCAGTGGCAGGACAAGAAGCAGTAGGCACAAACTGAAGCACAGGAAATTCTGTTTAAACTTAAGAAAAACTTTCTTTCTTTGAGGGTGGTGGTTGAGCACTGGCACAGATTGCCTAGGTAGGTTGTGGAGTTGCATCCTGCTGTAGCTGATACTGCTGCGGGGGGACGATGGCGGGGACAGGACACACAGAGGGATGGGGACTGGGTATTCTCAAGAGGTCCCTTCCATCCTCAGTGATTCTGAGCAGGAAGCCAATAATTGCATAGTCACTTCAGAGTCCTTAGTATTTCCTGGAAAGGAAGTTTTATTTTCTCTTCTTCATGTTGTTCATGTGTATAAGAAGAGTAAGGAATTCATCATACTGACCTGTCAGACTTGCTGAACGGGTTTTCCTCAGTAATTATCCAGGAGTAAAAATACACATCTTATTCCAGTCCAGGCTTTTTAGCACTTGTGGATTTTGTAAACGATTCTAGATTTGGACCAAAATGAAACCAAGCAAATAGGATTATTATGCCTTAATAATTTTATTTTTTCTTCTTCAGTAGAAAGTACTGCTGTGCTACAGAAAAACAGATGCTTCATTTCTCATTTTGTTTTATTAAAAATATGTCAGAAATTCTGAACCAAGAGATAGAGAAGCCTAAAGTTATTATTTCAAATCAATAGAGCTAAAGAAGTTTGAGTTGGTTTAGCTAGTAACATTTCGTTTACAGTAGTGTAACCCAAATAAGCAGGATATGTTTAAGCTGCATTATAGATGGTTAAAAAAAAACCCAAAACCTAAAAAAAAAGTACATGATGGAATAGCATTGATGATAAAACCAGAGCTGTACAGTATGATTGATGAAACTTTTATTAGACCATGATAAACTAATTTACATCTTAATTAATCCCTAGGCTCTCTTCAGTTTTAACCCTGATATTATCTTAAGGGGGACTGTCAATGCTAAAACATAATTGCTAGCTTTTTTATTTTACTTTTTATATATTTCTCTATATCCTGAGACTTTTTTTTATCTCTGTATCCTGAGACTTTTATAAAGACAGATAGCTAAGAGATTGAAGTAAAATAACCATCGTTATATCATCTAGTTGTCAAAGAAATCGTTAAAACTTTTCTCTTAGATATGTTCATAAATTTAAATGAAAGTGAGAGACCACAACAAAGAAATATTAAAAAATACTGCAGTGCAAGGAAGAATTTCAGGGTTAACTCTTAAGCTGACTAGAAGAGGTGACCTCCTAGATTTTTTGTTTGTAAACAGAGAGGGACTTGTGGGCGAAGTGGTGATTGGTGGCTGTCTTGGTCACAGTGACTACAAAGTAGTTGAGTTTCACGTTGTTTGCAGTAGGAGAAAAATGGCCAGCAAAATTTGACCCTGGATATGGGGAGAGCAGACTTCAGGCTGCTGAAGGAGCTAGTTAGTAAGGTCCCCTGGGAATCTGCTTTTGAAGGTATTGGGGTCCATGAATGCTGGTCACTTTTTAAGAGCTGTCTCTTAAGAGCACAGGAGGAAGCAATTCTGAAGTGTGGGAAGTCAAGCAAGTGGGGCAGAAGGCTGGCTTGGCTGAACAGGGAGAACTTAGGTGGAAACTGAAAGTGTATGGATGTTGGAAGCAAGGACAGGTGACATGGGAGGGTATTAGGATGCTGTTCACCACTATAGGGAGAAAATTTGTGTAGCCAAAGCTCAGTTAGAGTTCAAGCTGGCTAGTACTGTGAAGGACAACAAAAAGGGCTTTTTTAAATGTGTTAACAACAAAACGAGGATCAGGGATAACATTGGTTCATTACTTGATGAGGTTGGTCACCTCACAAATAGGGATGTAGAAAAAGCATACACATTTAATGCCTTCTTTGCCTTTAACACCTGCGATGGGTGCTGGGACCGCTGCAGCCCTGTGTTGGAAGACCTTGACTGGGGGGATGATGAACTTCCATCTGACTCTGAACATGTTGGAGACATGCGCATCCAGCTGGAGCAGCAAAAGGCTATGGGGCCTGATGGGATTCGTCCCAGGGTACTGAAAGAGCTGGCTGAAGTTATTGCCGGACCTCTCTCTATTATTTTTCGATGGTCTTGGGAATCTGGAGAGGCCCCAGTCGACTGGAAGCTGGCACATACTGTCCCGTTTTCAAGAAGGGAAAGAAGGAAGGCCCTGGTAATTACAGGCCTGTCAGTCTTGCTTCAGTGCCTAGTAAAATTATGGAGAAGGTTATTCTGAGAGTTATTGAAAAACACTTGAGAGACAATGCAGTCATTGGTCATAGCCAGCACAGGTTCATGAGGGGAAAGTCCTGCTTAACCAACTTAATTTCCTTTTCTGATAAGGTCGCCCATCTAGTTGACCAAGGGAAGTCAGTAGATGTGGGTTTGGGTTTTTTCCCCTTTATTTTTAGCAAAGCTTTTGATACTGTCTCTCACAGAATCCTTCTGGACAACATGTCCAGCACACAGCTAGAAAAGTGCATAATACGTTGGGTGAACAATTGGCTGACAGGTCGGGATCAAATAGTTTTAATAAATGGGGTCATATCAGGCTGGAGGCCAGTCATCAGTGGGGTTCCCCTGGGCTCAGTTTTAGGGCCAGTGCTCTTTAATATTTTTATAAATGATCTGGATGCAGGAGTCGAATGCACGTGAAGTAAGTTTGCCAATGATCCTAAACTAGGAGGAGCTGTGGACTCCCTCGAGGGTAGAGAGGCCTTACGGAGAGATCTGGACAAACTAGAGAGCTGGGCAATCACCAACTGTATGAAATTTAACAAGAGCAAGTGTCAGATTCTCCATGTGGGATGGGATGCGGTAATCCTGGTTATACATACAAGTTGGGGAATGAGAGGATGGAGAGCAGCCCTGTGGAAAGAGATCTGGGGGTTTGGGTTGATGGAAAGTTGAATATGAGTCAGCAATGTCCTGGGGTGCATCAAGCACAGCATCGCTAGCTGGTCAAGGGGGGTGATTGTTCTACTCTGCACCGCATGGGTGCAGTCCCACCTCAAGTACTGTGTGCAGTTTTGGGCTCCTCAGTATACAAAGGACATCAAACTATTAGAGTGTTTCCAGAGGAGGATGACCCAAGATGGTGAAGGGTTTTGAGGGCAAGACTTAAAAGGAGCGGCTGAGGTCACTTGGTTTGTTCAGCTTGGAGAAGAGAAGGCTGAGGGGTGACCTCATCGCAGTTTGCGACTTCCTCAGGGGGTGCAGTGCAGGGGGAGGTGCTGATCTCCTCTCTCTGGTGACCAGCGATAGGACACAAGGAAATGGAATGAAGCTGTGTCAGGGGAAGTTCAGACTGGACATGAGGAAAAGGTTCTTCACTGAGGGGGTGGTCGATCACTGGAACAGGCTCCCCAAGGAAGCGGTCACGGCACCAAGCCTGTCAGAGTTCAAGGATGACATCTGGACGAC